AAAACTTGATGAATTCCGCATCGATAAAAAAACAAAATTCAACATACCAGTACGAACGGCCAATCAAGCTGACAAAACATGAATATGTTAAAAAATTTTTCACATTTAGCTATTTTAACATTTATTTATATGATCTTTGCTACATTATCTCAAATCTCTCAAGTAAAGAGATGATGAAGCGTCTCATTCTGAACTAAATTTTAGTCATGCAGAGGTTTCTTCTAATGAACTAACTAGCTCATTTGTATGGTACAATGGTTCAGTCTTAACTTACTTAATTTTTATGAATGTGGCACAACACTTACCGATAAAGGCGTAAATTGTTATGAATACAAATTCTGGATCATGATGGCAAAATGGTATCAAATTTGGTTAAATAATCATTGAGAAATCTTAACTCAAATTTGGAAATAATTTTTTTAGTTTTTTATTTTTTTATACTTTGTGTTTTTCAATGTTATCTAATTAAATTTGACAAAATATATTTGATTTTAATTCTATAACTTATAGAATCAAAATAAAAAAAAACACTGAAATTAGTTAAGCATTCATCGAGAAATATAGGCTCAAAGTTTTCTAAATTTTAAAAGAATCTTCATGGTTGATAATTCCCCTAACGTATTTAGGCCCAGAATTTTGGTGATCTCCTGTAATTCTAGGTAAAAAACCTATTGGCCATTCTTTTGAGAAGATATATCGGTACTAACATAATACAACGATGAGATTGTTTTCAAATATATTACTACACCGATACATTATTTGTTCTAAACAATGAATCATATATTCTCATTATTATAGTCTTTTTTAGTTATATCTTTATCTAAGTTATATATCTAAAAACTCTTTAGACAAAAGGGTGATATAACTAAAGTTTGACTGTATATTACACTTTTTAACCATAAGGTTTTAGAATTTACTTTAATTAAATTAAGGAATTGCTATATTTCTAAGCGCATGAATGTTTAGATAATATTCTTGCTTATAGTCATATTTGTTTATTGAATAAATATCTTTTATCTTATTTTTATAAAAATTTTAACTTATTCTTTACTTGTAAACATTTAACTTATTATATCTCTAAATTACTTATAAAAAAGTTTTATTAATTTTTCACATTCATTTTCTAAGAATGCTTTACGCATTTATTATTTATTAGTAATGTGAAAAAATTAATAACATAACCGAATTATCCATTTTTACTAACTCATACTAATCTAGCACCTTTTATATTGTAATGTTGACGAATTTCGATTTAAAATATTTGCCATAAGTTTACAGTCTTGTCACTAGATTTTGCCAAAATAGAAAATAATAATATATGATGAAATATAGTATGATATTACAATAGTGGACTCGAAAACGAAATTGACATAATAAATTTCTAGTTCTAACGGGTATATTTATATCTCACAATACATCCCATATGACAATAATGGCCTGCAATTTTTTCATATGGACATGGCAATGATGAGGTAGAGGTGAGAATATCTAATATGGGAGATAATTGCTCCTTTTGAAACGAGTTGGTGACGAGCTTTATTTCCTCCTGAGATAAACCACGAAATAACTCATCATCTTTATGTTCAGAATCTTTACTAAGTTCAATAGGATTACGTCTTTTTGGTTGAACAGAATAGGTGACGAGCTTTATTTCCTCCTGAGATAAACCACGAAATAACTCATCATCTTTATGTTCAGAATCTTTATTAAGTTCAATAGGATTACGTCTTCTTGGTTGAACAGAATAGGTGCATTCACTATTACGTTTTATGCATTCATTGCATTTGGTAGATTGATCGAGATGTTTGATCTTTGTGCATCTAATTTTTAAGCGTTTGCAAGAATCACACGCATTAGTTATGTTATATCGAAATTTCGAAAGATTATTTGATGGTGGCATTTTGAGATTTCTATGATAACTCGAAATTGCCTTTGAAAAGAAGACTTGATGTACAGTATTTATAACTTTTGATAAAGTAAGTTTGTAGAACAAATATCGGAAAACCCCGGACTTCCCTTTAATAATAACATTATCAATATATTCGATCTATTGTGTTTTTTTTTATTGAGCGGAATTCATTAGTTTTTTTTTTGTCCAGCTTGATTGACTGTTTCGTGTTAGTAGATTGAGTTTTTTTTTTTTGCCAAGACGGAATTCATGATTTTTTTGTCAGCTTGATTGGCCGTTCGTACTGGTATGTTGAATTTTGTTTTTTTATCGATGCGGAATTCATCAAGTTTT